TTTTATAATATTATTTCGTTTACGTTCAATCAATAATATAAACTTTTTCAAAGCAAACTTATACTTAATAATCCAGTTTACACGATTAAAATAATATTATTGATTATTTATTTTTTTTTTTTGAGAAGTTATACTTCTTTTGGCGCGTTTTAAAAAGTGAAGTTAGCTGCGACCGAAAAATCAACACCACGAAGTTGTCGATATTTACGATGCGCGGGAAAATTGAAGTTATTTTTGAGGTTATGTTCGTTTTGGTACGCTAAAGAAGTATAACTTCTTACGTGCGTACATAAGTACACACATCAGTTTTTTTTTGAAAAAATATTTATACCAATGTGTGAAAACGTTAATTAGTAAAAGCATATTTATTTGTACATATGATTTTTTCCATTCAGATGCATCACCGTTTTTTTGTTTTTTTTTTTTTTTTTAGATGGTCCAAATTGAAGATGAGGGCAAACAAAATTTAACTGCACCGTATAATTATGGGGTTTACACCGAGAAAAAAATAACATATTTTCAAAAATTTTTTTTTTTCTATATAAAAAATGGAATTCTTATTCAAACTTTTTATAACATTTAAGATACATAATTAATAAACATTTTCTGAAATTTTGATTGAAAATTATTTTAAACTAAGCGATTGCGACGTCATTTCCGGTGACTCCACCGAAAAAAAAGTGTTTTCGCGTTGACAACAGAACTCATAAAAGGTGGGGGGTTTTTCAGTAGAAAAAATAGGGTCTTTTAGTGAATACCTAAAACTAGAAACGTTTTTGGCAACGTTTTTGGGCAAGAACATTCAAATTTCGCTATAATTTGCACCACATTTTGATTTCTTAAAATTAGATGTGATGAAAAAAAAAAAAAACTCCTTCATCCAAGTACTTGTCAATAGTATTTTGAAGAAGTGTAGCAAATTTCATCAAAATCGGTTAAATAGTTTTTAGAAAGAAAACAAAAAAAAAATTGATTTTTTGAAAGTCCCAAACCCATGTAACCCCTTAACGTAAAAAATAACAAAATTTGGATCGTTTACAATCATTTTAAAATATCTTAGAGTCTAATTATAATATGAAAAAAAAAAATCGTCATTTATTTACCAATAAAGAAACACTAAATTATTTGTCCTTAATTTAAAGTTATTTTAATTCAATTTATTAGTTGTCCTTCATCTTTAAGTTTTTCTTTTTTCTTTTTTTTTCTTTTTTTTTTTTTTTTTTTTTTTTTTTTAATTTAAAACAAATGTTATTTTTACCAATTATATATATTTCCACATTAAAAATAAATTAGGAATGCAATGGTAATAATGGTGTTACGTGTACGATAATATTTCTATTAAAGAGAAAGTCGTAAAATTAACAAAGAAAACAAAAAAAAAATTCAACAACCGTGTTTGCCATCCGCATTTCTTTATCCCCCGTCTCTTTATTATTCCCTGATTCTCGCTGTTAACTAGAAAGACCTGATCTTCAATCAGTCAGTTAAGAGAAAGCAGTCATCTAAGATGTTTCGTGTTCGTCAAGTGCGTGTGCAACAAAACGTGGACAAAAAAAGATAGAAAAAGAAGAAAAAAAGAAAAAAAAAGGAAATATGTAGTGCTTAATAATATAAATCTTACGAGAACACCTTCGAGCTAAATTTTCTCTTCTTCTATGTTTGCTATATGACGGACACGTCAAACAATAAAATAAGTGATATGTTCTTGGGAGTAATAACAAAATTATTATTGATAACCAGTTTGATCAATTAGAAGAATATTCTAAAGGTAAATAAATAGGCGTATGTGAACATTTTTAATCAAATAAAATACTAAGAGACTTGAGAATAATAATTTATGTTAATGAATAGAATTTTTATCGTGAAAAGATGAAAAATCACTTTTTGAATTCGAGTTCCCAACCTAGACAATCTAACAGCTCAATTTTTTTCTTTTCCACGAATCCTACCTATATCCTTTTTTATTCTAATTCTTCTAAAACCCCCAAGTGTGGGAGGAGGAGTAAGAGGGGGGGGGGTTCCCGTACTATTCAAGCTTTAAACAGATTTATATTCGTGTTATTGGACAAATCTTTTTTCAATCAAACGTATCTCTGTTTTTGATCTTTTATAATAATAAAAAAAAAAAAAAAAGAAAAAAAGGAAAACAACAACAACAACAAAATGAAGTTATTAAATCATAAAATTGTACGGAAATGTTTCTACTCGGAGAAGTTTAAATCGATTGGTGGGGGTAGATGTCGCAAAATTATCGAAGATTTCTATGACAAGATTAACCCACATTTCTATATATGATAGATATTCTAGTCTTCGGTAGTAGGATAACTTTCTTATCGATGATTAGACGTTAACTCGAAATTAAAGTCACAACTCGTTAATCGATCTCTTTCATATGTCTCATATTTTCTATCTCTCTCTCTCTCTTTCTCTTTTTAAAGGACAAAAAATGATTAGAACTAAGGTTAATAGAACTAAGTATTAGAAACTTGGATGGTATAAACGAATCAACTATCAATGCTTTCCTTACGACGTGTTTTCACCGACAATTAAAATGGAGACAGGTTTACGTACGATAAATCGCACGAGATCCGAACAGAAGATATATATCCTGTATATTCTTCCGATAGTCTATCGGGAGGGAGAGGGTGGATGAGGGGGATCCATAAAACGGAACGAGTATTTCTGCGTAGTCACTTAGAGTTGATTGGCTGTCTTGTTAAAATGAATAAATGCACGAACCTCTCGGTTACTGATTTTTTTTTTTTTTTTTTTTTTTTTTTTTTTTTTTTTTTTTTTTNAGATATATATCCTGTATATTCTTCCGATAGTCTATCGGGAGGGAGAGGGTGGATGAGGGGGATCCATAAAACGGAACGAGTATTTCTGCGTAGTCCTTAGTAAAGAGACGACGACAACGACGACGACGACGACGGCGACGACGACGACGGTGACGATTTTTTTTTTTTTTTTTTCGTTTTCTTTCTTTTCTTTTTCCCCTTACCTTACGAGTATATATGTTTTATATACGTGTGTGTGTGTGTATGTTAGTTAACTGGCGTGTGTATATGTGTACACATAGAAATACATGGAACGTACACCGCAGGAGAAAGAAGAGAAGAGAGGAAGCTTATTAGAAACGCTTCCACCGGCGATACTTTCATCCCGGATTAGATTATTCTGTTCTGTAAACTAGCGTGTCCAGGTGCTCTCTAACTAAAATCAAGTCACCGCAGTTAGAGGAGTAAAAAAGAAGAAAAAAAAAAAAAGGGGGGAAATGAAATAGGTGGAAAGAAACGATTCATGTGTATACTTTCCATGTTCTCTGTGTTCCATTTTTTTAATTTCTAATCTAGTAAATCAGTATATCTCTATCTCCATTATTATATATATCTTTCTTTCTTTCATTCTCTCTCTTTCTCTTTCGCATGGCAACAGAGTGTGATCAAGTGTCTCGATGTGTATTATATTCCTCTTTAGTCTTTCTAAAAGAGATTTCCCCTTGTTTGTTTCTCAATGAACAACCAGAGACGTTCTCGATTTTCCAAACTGATTTGTATGACCATGTTTAGAAGTAAGAGAGAAGTTTGAGTCTAAGCTAGTTTAGAATACTCGATATAATTATACGAGTTAATCGATCGATTTGTTACACTTTACTTTAAACTTTTATCTTTTTAATGTTAAGGAGAATTTTTGTTGTTGTTTAATCATCTAGTCTTTTTTTTTTTTTTTTTTTTTAATCTTTGACTAATATTTTTCAAGGTAGATATTTAGGTAGAGAAAGAGAGGAAACATTAAATTGCATTCGTTCAAATTTATCTGTTAACATGTT